CGATTCAGAATCGATTCTCGATTCTCAATTTAAATCGATTCACAATCAGTATTAACAGAGTGTCAGCTCCAGGATGAACTACTTTGTTCCACAAGTTAGTTAAAGCTGTGGGACATTGTTATTTGACTTTAAACTGGTCATGCTCCAAAAATGCAAATTTACAATGTAAAATAAAGTGATTCTAAAACTGTAAACAGAAGCAATCTTTTGACCAAAAGGCAACATTTATTTTTGCTTTCCTTGTAAAATATAACAAATCTGTAGTTATTAACAGTAGCTTTGAAAGTAATATGGTCAAATACTTTTCAAGTATGTGTAGAAACAAGTTACATGAGTAATCCTGAGTACTCATTTATCAACTTAGAAAATAAATAAGAGAATATCTCAAATTTCTGAGTATAGAAAAAATGACATTCAAGTGCCCTCTTAGCAGCAGATTCAAACATAAATCATCTCAACTTATGGGACCACAAAAGTAAACGGAGTACTGATTCTCCTAACAAAGATCAAAAAAGTGCATCTCAAACCAGTAACATGCCAAATATTTGAGTTCTTGGAATCGATTCTGAATCTTTATAAATAAGAATCCCGATTCAGACTTGAATCGATTTTTTTCAGCACCTGTATTAGTTATCGTTGGAAGTGAAATCCTCAATATACTTTGATACTGATTTTAGGCCATATTGCCCAACCTTAAGACAGGAGATTTGCAGAGGTGATGCCCAAAGGAAAAATGCAAAAAGAGAAAGAAGTTTGTTTTTACGGTGGAGTAACAGATTCTTAGTGTTGAACTCAACTCCATCTTTTCCACTACGTTAAATACCCAACATGCTCACACTACGTACATCTATTCTAATACTTTCACGGTCCGGTTTTAAATATGTTCAAACTACAGACACTTTTGCTCTTCCGAGGTGATTTATTAGGTCTCTGTTAGCTAGCAGTTAGGGGTGGGCAAAATAAACGATATAAGGTAGAAACGATATAAAATTGGGTAATGATAGAGAGGGAATCTAACAACACACACAAGTTTAGGGACAGAAGATCCCTATAAGAATATTAAAATAATAAAAATGCAGCAATAAATAAAATGTAATACTTGTGCTTCGTAACAAAGTAACACTCTGTGGAAGCTAACTTGGTGAACTTATTCACCCTGGACAGGAAATAATTGCACATAAGAAACATAAATAATAAATAAAAAAAAAGTTTCAAAACAATAATTTGTGTTCAAAGTTCAAAGGAGTGGAGCCACACAACATGAGTTCATAAAGCTGGCGCCATCTGCTGGATAGGTAGTGCAATATCGGCCGTCTTTTTGGCTGATAGCCGATACTGTCAATGACCCCAATATCGACTGGCCGATTTTATCGACCGATATATCAGTTGGGCCCTAATTAAGACCAAATGGTTGAAGTGTATTTAAAGTGTAGATCCAGAATAGTTCCCTTTGACAAAGTTTTTTTTAATCGATGTTGCCTCACCTGTGTAATGAAACACATTTAATCCCCTGGAGTCTAAGTGAAGACGTGCTGGATAGTTCAAATCCTTTCGTCTGATTGAACTCTTATGTTCACTGATCCTTTGTTTAAGTGGTCTTGTAGTTTTGCCAATATAAACTTTATCACAGGGGCATTTTAACAAATAAATTAAGTTTTTAGAATTACACGTCATAATGCCCTTAAACAAAGACTCTTTTTCTTGTTCTTGGATGTCAGAACTCAGGAGTTTTCACAGTATTGTGACACTGAGCACAGTTTCCACAGGGGTGATTTCCAAACCGCAGAGGGGCAAGAGTTAACTGTTTAGGTGGGGGCTGGATGCCAGCTTCCACAACTCAATTTGGTTCTCTCTTGTAAACAAATAAAGGTGGATGTTGATGCATAATTTCTGGTGATAAATTATTTTAAAAAACAAAAAAATATGAGGAGCCGTTTGAGAACTGAAAGAGCTGGTCATTTTAGTGAGCCGAGCCGTAAGAACCGGTTCTCTTAAAAGAGCCGGAGTTCTCATCACTAGCAGACAACTTCCTCTCAGAAGAGGTGAAAAGTGTAGCTAGCATAGGCAATAACATGCCCTCTACTGGGACTGCACGATATTAGGAAAACCTGCGATATAAGATAACAGTGATTAATATTGCAATGATGATATTACGTGCGATGAACAAAAACTTAACTCTGGAAGAAAAATAATCAAAAACAAAGAAATAAAAAGAAATTACCAAAAAATCATAAAAATGAGAAAAGCAAAAATGTGAGGAAAGGGAAAACGAAAATGAACAAGAAAAGGCAATCAGTGGATCCCGGGAAAAGCAGAATCAGCAGAAAGAGCAGAACAATGCTAACTCAGGTGTTTGCTAACCATCAAAATTAATTTGACAAATTGGGGAGAAATTATGACACGTCTCTAAATAACAACCCATAGAAGCACTGATTTGATCTCATTTCAGAGAAAAATAGAACAGGTTAGATGCACCTAATAAATAAAATTACTAACAAACCCAGGAATCTGTTTCTTTGCTTCACTGTTCTGGTGCTGAGAATATCACTAATGCGGATCGAAGGAGATACACATATGAATGCACCTCTTATTTATTATTTGGAGACTACATTTACTGCAGCTGGCAGAGGCAGAGATTTTTTCTATTGATACACGGAATTTACAGAATCATTTAAAATTTTAATAGGGGAAGACTGCAGGAGGGAGCGGTAAAATACAGGGGGTCCCCAGCAAAAACAAGAAACTTTACGAGTCTGATGAAACCCGCTGGTTTTCCATCAGGCAGCTCCAACGACCCAGTGGCTGTGCTGGGTCAATGTTATCAAGCTCAGTCCGGCTCGGCAGAGGGTGAACCAGCCGAGGCGACGTCGTGCTCTGCTTAAGAAAAGGTGTTATTTTCCCGCTTCAGAAGAAGCGTCCAACGTGTTTTTACGCTTTCTCCGAGACATGTCACGTCGCTAAGTTGTTAGTGCTGCACGCTAACACATCAATAGTGCAGCGTAGCCTGCTGGAGGTTTTAAGGTTCAGATGAAAACACCCGACCTCTCAGGCTTCTCACACATCGTTCTTAAGTTGTCGCTGTTGCGCTCACGCCGTAATACAGCATTAGATGCGGTTAAAGTCAGACATGAAAAAAAATTTTTTTTTTACATGAATAAGTGATGCTTAGCCTGGTGGGGGGAGGAAACCTGGCAAGATCGTCAACACTTGTTTATCTTAATGCTACTGAAACATGTAAACCAAAAAGCATTAAATCCACTGCTACCTTTCTAATTTTAAACTCAGTAACTTATGCTGTAACTTCACCTTGCCCTGCCTGCTCCTCCTTGCTGCCCGCCGGCTGTGATCATAAGCGACAACATAGTAGTTCCTGCTGCTTCTTCGGGAAACAGCGCAAAATAAATAAATAAAATAAAATAAAACTTGGGATCTTGTAGGCGTGGCCGTGGGATTTCAGCTGTGGCGGCTACGTCTATGTAAGGGAAACCCTGCCGACTGAAGTCCGTCACCGAAGACTACATGGCCAAGCTAGATGACACCTTCTAGCTTTCAGTTTTAGACCGGCTGAACGAAACTTGCCAAAAACCTCAGCGAGGCTTTTCAAGTGGTCTGAGAAGGTCCGGATGAGGACTAATACATTGTCCAAGTATATAAAACAAGCTTTTCAATGAAAACCATGACGAACTAGCTCCATTAAATTCCGGAAGGTAGGGGGAGCATTGGTCAGTCCCATGATGGACATAACCTTGAATTGATAAAGCCCACTACCACTGCAAAACGCAGGTTTCTCCTCATCATGGAATTCCAGTTCCATCTGCTCGACATGTCTATCGTGATGAAGCAACAGGGTCCAGAGAGGCTGTCAAGAGCCTCCAGTCATTTCGATGGTGTGGGTTTGAATCCCACCACTGCCACCAGTCTGTAACCTTCAAATATTAACAGATCCTCAGAGTTGGAGGCTGTGGGTTGTAGTCGGGTCACAGTTCAATTCTGACAAGATTATTATTTTTCTTGGTCTACCTAGCTAAAAAAATCCCCAACGGCATGTCAGGACAATCCTCACACAGCGCTCGTTCATTCCTCTCCCATCAATCAATCAGTCTCTACAACCAACGGGTGCTCCTTGTGCTCACTCTAGGGCTGGTGTCACCAACTCCAGTCCTCGAGGGCTACCATCCTGCTAGGTTTCTGTGTTTCCTGCTCTACCACACCTAAATTGAGTAATTTAATCATCTCCATAACTCTACACAGGCCTGTTAATTACTCATTCATTTGAACCAGGTGTGCAGGAGCAAAGAAACAGCCAACATGTGCAGGATGGTAGCCCTCGAGGACAGGAGTTGGTGACCCCTGCTCTATTAGTCCCTCCTACTTTTCTTTTTAAAATAAATGACAAGAAACAAAATACAGGCTGGTCAGGCCAAATACTAGTTGTGAAAATAACTGTGAAAATCAGAAGCAGGGACCTGAAAAGGCTCAACAGCCTAATAACAAAGGCTGGTTCTGTTCTGGGGACGACCACTGGAGGAGATAATGCAAAGAAGGATTCTCCAGAGAATCAAGAAAATTATGGACAGCCCTGAGCATTCTCTTCACAAGATTGTCTGACAACGGAAGAGTGTCTTCAGTCAGAGGCTTCTTCAGTTTGGCTGCAACACTGACCGCTACTGGAGATCCTTCCTGCCAACAGCCATTGTAATATACAATAACTCTTTGATGACTTGATTATTATTATTATTCTGAGCTACTACAGCAATGAATTTCCCTCTGGGATTAATTAAGTATTTTTTAATTGAATTGAACATGAAATAATGACTACTTATACTTTTAAAACACGAATATTGAATTTTCCTGTTTTATTGTCACACATTTTAATATAACTATTTGAAAAAGCCCATCCAAATACTAAAACATAATTACTAGATACTAGTAAACAAATGAATAACAGTAACCAGCGCGGAGAAGCTAGCATTAAGTCACCGAAGGTAGCAGAAACGACCCATAAAACAGTAAAGCAAATAAAACGAAGTACTTACAAGAATGAATATCTAAACGACCACCGTGCCTGTCACCGCTGATGATTAATAGAAAAGCAAAATTCTTCTAAAAACACATTTTAGCTACAAATCTGTTGATAGCAATGAACAAATTTCCCACGTCGCTTTTAGCATGATTTGCGCGTGCGCAATACTTGACCGATGTTTTTATTTAACGGAAGCAGATTCCATTATAAAACATTGTACCCTTATTCATTTATTAAGTTAATAATTATTAATGATTAAAATCAAGCAAACAAATACAAATAAACAAATTTATATTGCTAAATCCAATGTTATAATCTGATGCGGAATTCGAAAAGGTAAAGTGTCGAATCTACCGAAAAAGGATAACTCTTACGTCACAAAACAGCATTTACTTAACTGATAAACCCACCGTCTGTCAGTCGGCTCCATAACTTGTGCTGAGTTTTGTTTTACCTCTAACGCTGGCAAGTCCACAGAAAACAAAACGAGTGTTACTTAGGGGGAAAATCGCACAAGGAGGAGTTTCGTGGGAACACTGCAGTTACTTTTAGAGGTCGGTCGCAGCTGCTCTGGGGGGCGGAGTGTCTGCGAAGTGCTGCGCCGATTGGGGCGCCCGTTTGGAGGAAGAGAGATGGCGTGCTTGTTGGAGGCCCCTCTCCGCATCAGTGTGCTGTCTGTGAGTGTGGCTCTTTTCAATTTCAAACGACAACTTGTAGAACAATTCCAACCTCGAGCGTTAAACACAATGGTCATATAAAGCTATGGCCTGTAAACCCTTGGTGAGCAGAGGTATTACTTTAGCCTGCAGGCTAAATTAAAGACTCAGCGGCATGTACGGGAAGCGGTTCACTACGTTGCTGATGATGAGAACGATTTGTTGTCCTAGCTAGCGCGGGCGGGCGGGAACATTTGGAAACATTTCAAAAGGTACTCGTAGCTTATCGCCGCTTGCTCTGGCGGTGTTTACGAAAAATCAAATGAAGCACTTCAAGGAGCTGTCAGTGTCACCTGGAATGAGTTAGCATCTAGCTGCAAAGTGACTGGATAGTTCAACCGTATCTAAATAAACCGTGAAGCGCCCGGAAACATATTGACACAAGTTATTTATTTATTTAAAATCATTAGCCATTGCTGGCTTATAACTAATGTCAGTTCCTGCTAATTAGCAAAGTTAGTGCTGATGTTGAATAAACCTAGCAGTCCAAAGCATTAGCTTTAGCTAGCATAGCTACATACTTGGAGGAGTAAAACCAACTTGAAGTTTTGTTTTCAATAAGATAAGTTATTTGCATGAGTGCCAAGGACTGTTGGCTGTAACCCAGCTAATGCTCTTTATTTAGACAATTTAAGACACCACGTAGTCCCAATTTTTTGCGGTAGTATTTTTTTTAATCGTATGCAGCTTGTAATAAAGTTGTAAACAACTACGTAAAGCTAGGTTCATGCAGTCTTGGTACATGCTGAGCACCTTGTCAGGAGTGTGTTGGCACCAGAAGCCAGTGGTATCAGTGTGCTGTCAGCTGGCCCACGTTCACTGGGAGTCATCATGTGGAAAGTTCTGGTTAAAGCTGTCAGTGGTATGAGCAAAGCTACATGCACCCTCTACTAGCTAGCACTGAGAGCGTCCTCCATGGAAACCTCTGTACGTATCAGTGATCTGGAATTAGAATAACTCATGAGAAAAAGTTTCTTATTTCAGTAATGAAATCAGTCCTAATACATTTAAATTAAACTTTACTAAAGTTTAATGGGTTAGATACTAATGATTACTTTTGACTTTTCCAAGAAGTAATTTATCTATTTCTGCTGCTAAATGTTCAGATTTGCTTCTATTAACTAAAGGCTGTAAGCTTTTCTCTTTGTTTTCTGTTGTAGTAAAATGTATTCTTACATGTTTACCATATCTATTAAAGCTTGAAAATGTACACCTGTCTTTCAATTTTATTAAGTAATGTTCTTTATTTGTTTACACAGGAAGTTACTGCCACCAGCCGCCATTATGTTGACAGACTATTCGACCCCGACCCACTGAAAGTGCTGCAGGGAGTCATGTAAGACTAACCGTTTTGTACAAATAAGACCAAATATTTATAAATGTACTTACTAGAGAGCCCTCAAGTCTCTGTTTGAATGTGGAGGAGTTGGTTAAAATAAGAATACTAACATTCTTCCTCAGTGTGTTTGGGTTGACACATACGTTATTGTGGTTCCGGTAAACTACACCGAAAAAGAGAAATGAAAAGTTGTAAGGGAAAATCCGTAGTGTTGCATTGATCATATACAATTTAACATTTGAGAACAGCGCATGTATTCATGTTCATCTAATAAAAATCTAATTTTAATCCAAACTTTGAAAAGAAGTCTCTCTATTGTTCGCTGGGTGACCGACACAGATCTTCTCCGTGGGTGGGGGTGAGGGGTCCCAGATCGTCTTCTGCGTTGTCAGAGTCTCTGCCGCTTCCTACTGACCGGTTTTCATCAGCTTTCCCCTCGCCGCCTGAAGCAGCTTCATTTCTCATGCTTGTTTCACTGAGGATGTTCTTCCAAAAGCTGTTCCAGCCGCTATTTCACACGCCGTATGAACAGAGGGGGAGCGTGCGTGAGCTGGAAAGTTGGTTGCTTAGCATGTTACCCTCGGTAAAACGTTACCACGTAAACAATAGAGCCGCCACATTGACAGCTTATGCGAGACAAAGACATAAGCAGCTATTTTTATTTTTTGATAAATTATTTTATGGAAATTGTAAAGCAAAAATAAAGGACACATGAAAATAGGAAAAGCCAGGACAACATGAGATCTATCTAACTAAAGTTATTACCCGTCATCAGGTAAAAACTCTGCACTACATTTGAATTAAAATCCGCCACCACTATTGGCTAAGAGGTACCGTATGACGTTAGCTGATACATCATGATGTCACAATGCTGTTGTAAGCCTCTCTGTGTGTGTGTGTGTGTGTGTGTGTGTGTTAGCGGCTCCGTTTTCTCAGTCTGCCAGGCAACAGCATTTGTTGCATATTTCAAACATGAAGTGGGAGTGGAGTAAGTTTCTTGTAGGGGGTGACTTGCTCTTTAAAGGGACTATAAGGAAGTTTGACAGCCAAAACATGTATAGAAATAATAAAGTTCTTCTTCATACATTCTCCTGCAATGCCCTGGTCCTGTAGAATGAGCCCTGGCATTTTTACTGTGATTGCCTTTTTTTCTGTAAAGTCACAGAAAAAGAGAGTTGCTCGGGTCGAGCAGGCTGCTTCATGCGCGTTCACGCTCAGGCTTAGCCCGTAGCATTTGCTATCCGTAGCTTTAGCAGCAGAGAGAGAGGTAGTGCCTTTGTCGCTGTTTCTAACACCTAGTGATGAACCTAGCTACATTTCAGAGGACCCTTAGCTACTTTCTGTACACCATATAAAGTTCCTGGTTAGAATGTTTTATCGTTTAAATGATTTTCACAACTTCTCATTACAAACAAGTTCTCTGTATGCTCTGATTGACTCTTCTTGTGAGATATATCCAGGTCTTTGTGGCAGCATTTTTGTTATTAAAGTAAAAGTCCCACTAGTCATCATCACACACCGTTAAAAGGACATCTCCATATTTGACCCATCGCCATGGGGAGCGGTGACTGCGCTCGGGAAACATTTGGTGGTTTACCCCCAGTCCAACCCTTTAAAGCTGAGTGTGAAGCAGGGAGGAGTTGGTTACGATCTTAAAGTCTTTGGTACGACCCGACCATTATGTTTTCTTTCAAATATTCTGGATGAGATTCAGGTCTGTGACGAGGTAGCTTCATGGTGTTTACCCAGCCATAGCTGAATGTGTTGTATGTTCCCAGGTTTTTGCTCTAAATATTGTTTAAAGGTCTGGTTGACTTAGAAACCGTTAAACTTTTTCCATTTGGTTCTTGTTCTTTTGGAAACCCGATGGGTGACTGAGTTGCATAGGCGTGCTTGTGTGAAAACTCTAAACATTCAGCTTCAGTACTCACAAAACCAAAGTCTACATTTGAGAGTAGTTCCTCAGCCAGAGATCAGAGCAGGATCGTATTCATCATCTATGAATGAAAACACACACTGCATAACCTGGAGCTGATTACAGACCAGAGTGTTTAGAATCCACACGTGTGGAAACACGGGAAATACTGAATGTTTCTCATTTTCAGTCTTTTCCTTTTTTTACCTTCTTCACCACTCTTCTTCTTCTGCTCTCCCTATCTATTCCACCTTCCTCACAATCCACCGATTTCCCTCTCTCCTTTTTACTCTCTCTCTTTCTTTACATTTTTTAAAAATCACAATTGTCCATTTTTGCTTATTAAACATATTTTTAATTATGTTTTAAATACATTTTGTAAATTTAAAATGTTTTGTTTTTGTGAAGTGCCTCATGATTTTTATCTTGAGAGGTGCTGTAGAAAATATCGTTTCTTCTTCTTCTTCTTCTTCTTCTCCTTCTCCTCCTCCTCCTCCTCCTCCTCGGCTTCTGACCAAGTCCTCCAAACACACCCACATCACCCCGCTTCTCCTCCAGCTTCATTGGCTGCCAGTCAACTTCAGGGTTCATTTCAAGATCCTGGTTCTGGTCTATAGGGCCTTACATGGACAAGCACCATCTTACATTGGTGATCTTCTTAGTCCCTACACCCCCAGCAGGTCCCTGAGGTCCAGTGATCAAAGTCTACTGGTTGTGCAGCACCAGGCTAAAGACCAAAGGTGACAGATGATTTGCTGCTCTGGCCCCCAGACTCTGGACCTCTCTCCCCCTGAGCCTGAGATCAGTGGACTCAGTGGTCTCCTTTAAACTCACCTGTTCAGGCTTTTGTGTGACCTTCATCACCCTCTCCTTGTTCTGCTCTCCCCAACTATTCCACCTTCCTCAGGATCCACTGATTTCCCTCTTTCCTGTTCACTCTCTCTCTTTCCTTACATATTTAATCACAATTGTCTATTTTTTGCTCAATTAAAATATATTTTTAACCATTTTCTAAATTCTTTTTTATATTTTTACATTTTTCTGTTTTTGTGAAGCGCCTCGTGATTTTTATCTTGAGAGGCGCTATAGAAAAGATCTTTTCTTCCTCTTCCTCTTCCTAAAACAAAAATTTGCAACTTGATACTGAAAAGTGTCTTTCATCTTGAATAATAATGTATGGCATTCCATTATAACAAAGGCAGTCTGCTTGTTAGGTTTGACCTGGTGGGTTATTGATGACAACGATCAACTTTCAGCCTGATTTCTGACTTTCTTCCATCTGAGCTCCTGCATTACCTGGACTCTGCCATGTGGGTAACTGAAGCCCGGGCTGCGGTGGAAGAAATATTTGTTTCACTGTGCAGATCAGACACCGACTGAGTGGCTGAATAAACTCTCATTAGGAACCTGACATTGATTGATAGAAATGTGGCGTGGGAACTTTTTTGCGTTCATAAATCCAAACGGTTCTGGTTGAATAAATTCCATATATTGTTTCTGAGTTTTATTGCATGCTCTGTTAATATTCAGCTAAAGCACCACTGATGGAGGCGGTCCTGTCGGGGCATGGTCTTCATCTTTACACGCTCAAGCCCTTTTTCCTGTTTTATTCTGCCCACTATTTCTGAGATGACCTAGCATTGTTATTTTTATCCTCTGAGGAGACTAGCTCTGGTTACGGCTCACACCGCTCCACTCGCTACGTGCTTCACCAACTCTGTTACGTGCTACAGTTTTATTTTTCCACCACATTCATTCAGCTGCTATCTGATATCTCCCTGATCAGCAACAGAAGCTGCACAGCTTGAAGGCTGCATCTTGTTTTCTGCTGAAGATCTCTGTTATATTATTGATATTGGCTTACCACATGCTCTGAAGAGAAACCATGTTTATTTATTGAGCCATGATAAGCTGCAGGCATCTGCGTTCAGAAACGTTCATACTGATGTTTGGTCTTGCATTGCAGCATGGTTACACTTAACATGTCTAAACTGAGTGTGTTTGTGTGTTACTTCAGTGATATGAAGAATGCAGTTATAGGAAACAACAAACAGAAGGCCAACCTGATTGTTCTTGGAGCTGTGCCAAGGTATGTCTGCACATATTTAACTTCTGCCATGTCTCCCCAGTCTTGCTTTTGATGCGTAAATCAGAATGTTCTAGAGAAATGATCACAAAACGGTCTCAGTCATGTTTGGGTTCATGCCATTCTTACTTAATGTACCTTTAAGTGGTGTGTTCAGCTGGACTGACATAAACATGACAGCAGAGAAATTGGGATTAATTGATATTTTAGGGAGAATTTGCACCAGAACACACATGATGCATTTGGCCTTTTCTGAGCTCAGTTTTCACCTTTTTCCCGTTTACAAGCCCTGGAGAATATTTTAAAATCTTCCTTTGGATGTTTGCTGCTTTTGATCTGTTCTTTCAGTAAAGCCGGGTGTAAACTGTGTGACTTTTTCACTTTTTTGAGCTGATTTACCAGTCGTGCGAGAATCCACGAGATTGGGGTGAGTTTTGCGCCTAGCGTGGTGTAGTGTACAGGGGGTTACGAGAGGCGATTAACACCACGTGACCAGCTACCGATCAACAATCGTGAGCTCGCATGGACTTCTGGCGTGTTTGATATTTTGCTCGTCCCTCGTGAGGGTATCGCACTGTTGAAGCGGCGCTGCGAGTGGCTGCGACCCAAAAAGTACCAGAACCGCTCACGGCGCATGCTCAATCCTGCATCAACACCGCTCGCTATTTCCCTAATAACACACGTTGTTCGTTTTTATTTCTACATGTTTTTCTACTCACAAAGATTGTCAAGAAAGCGTGTTTGTCGTGTTCATGTCAAATTAAACTGATCACAAAACACAGATTTACTTTCTTTATTTCATTTTCCTCATCCAACCCCATAAATCCCTGTGTGTCCTTCTGCAGCACTCCTGAAGGACAACAGGCAAGACAAGACAAAAGAGTCTGACGTGTTGAGTAAAAACGGCTATTTTTAGCATATTTTTAGGGCCGACGTGTTGCTACCAGACGTACAGTGTGAGCAGTCAGGTCGCAGCCGAGAACTGGGTCGTACAGTGTGAGCACATGACTCGTGAGATCTGCCCTGCGAGGAAGTCGTACAGTTTGAGCTGAAGCTGAGTGCCACGAGTGAAAAAGTCGCACAGTGTCCGCCCGGGTTTACTGTTCATCTGTCATAGTTTCATAAGCCTTGTCCACTTTTCTTCCTTTCCAATCCACTCCCTGCACACAGCTGACTCTGTCTGACCAACGTTCTTCAGCTTGTGTTAATGTGTTACTTCCAGGTTACTTTACCTGCTGCAGCAGAGCTCCTCCAGCCTGCGGCTCAGGTCGGAGTGTGCCGTGGTGCTGGGGAGTCTCGCCATGGGCACAGAAAACAACATCAAGTCCCTGGTGGACTGTCACATCATCCCCACCCTTCTTCAAGGTTGGATCACACGCACACACACACACACATGAATATGCACACACACACGCACACAGCCAGCTAATGGCGTGTGTGTGCGTGTTGTTACAACCCGTCTAGGAGGGCCAGGTTGTAACATTAAAATGGTTCCATCTTCCACTAATTCCAAACCACCACACCAGAATTCCGAGTACAATAATTTATTCACAAGGTCAAGGCGATGAACTAAGGACGAGGGAGGATGAATAACTCAGGGTGAACCAATGCCTAAAACGATAAACAAAACACCTCTAACTTCAGAATGACAACTGCCCTACAAACTTAAAGGAAATAATTGACAACCAAACTTACCTCCCTGACTATCCAAAACAGGAGAAAACAGGAATGCAAAGAAAAAAGGCGGTTCATCCCTACAGAATCCTCAAATGGCAGGTAACAGTCACAAAAGCACAAGGGCATTACACAAACACAGAGCATCAAGTGGTGGCTGATTGGAATGAGTGGAGAATGAAGAACCCAGCTGCATCTCATCAGGCTCCTTTTAACAGCTTTGCTCCAGCTGATCTTCCAATCCAAACGTCCCCTGGCCACCATCCACCAATCCTAGGAGGGCACCTGCACACTCAAAATGACACTAGAAAAAAAGAATAGTATAAAAATAAAAGAATTAATGTTCCTTATGACCGTGGTCATAACAGTGTGTGCATTAGACAGCCAGTGAGTGAAATGAAAAGATCCCCACACAAACTTGCTTTTCTTGATTTTAATGAAGATCTTGACATGAGATTATTGTATTTCATAACTGAAACGTACAGAAAACGGAGTAAATAAATGACCACACATGTCTTAATGCTTAAACACATGTTACATTTTATCAACCTAACCTAAGTGCTTTGTAAACATGATGATATGTAAGGCACATTAACATCTCTCTGTGCTGTTTTGTAGTTTTTCTGCAGAAGCACTTGTTCACAAATACATGACAGAACCGTTAGTAAGAGCACTCGCTTGGTTACGTTGTTGCATGCATGATCATTGTCGTCGTCTTCCTCCGCTTATCCGGGTCCGGGTCGCGGGGGCAGCATCCCAACTAGGAAGCTCCAGATCGTCCTCTCCCCGGCCACCTCCACCAGCTCCTCCAGCAGGACCCCAAGGCGTTCCCGGACCAGATTGAAGATGTAACCTCTCCAACGTGTCCTGGGTCGACCCGGGGGCCTCCTACCGGCAGGACATGCCCGAAACACCTCCCCAGGGAGGCGTCCAGGAGGCATCCTGACCAGATGCCCAAACCACCTCAACTGACTCCTTTCGATCCGGAGGAGCAGCGGTTCTACTCCGAGTCCCTCCCGAATGTCCGAGCTCCTCACTTGATCTCTAAGGCTGAGCCTGGCCACCCAACGGAGAAACTCATTTCGGCAGCTTGTATCCGCGATCTCGTTCTTTCAGTCATTACCCAAAGCTCATGACCATAGGTGAGGATTGGGACGTAGATCGACCGGTAAATCGAGAGCCTGGCTTTCTGGCTCAGCTCCCTCTTCACCACGACAGATCGGCTCAGCGTCCGCATCACTGCAGACGCCGAACCAATCCGCCTGTCGATCTCCCGATCCCTCCTACCCTCACTCGTGAACAAGACCCCGAGATACTTTAACTCCTCCCCTTGAGGTAGGACCTCTCCCCCGACCCGGAGTTGGCAAGCCACCCTTTTCCAGTCGAGAACCATGGCCTCATACATGCATGATGCAACAAAGATGGATTGTGTTGGAGAAGTCTCACTCTGATCAAACGTTCAAACCCAAACATTTAAATCTTTTTCAGCATAAACAAAACAGGTGTTTGTTAGGGACAGATGATATGGCCTCAGATCTATGTCACCGTGTAATCCGAGGCAGTAATGATATTAGTTTTGAACATCCTCATATACCAGATACATTTTAGCTGGATAAAGACATAAAAAGCATAGAAGGCAACTTAAACAACATTTAATGTGGAAAATGTATTAAAGACCTTTCATGTGTGTTATGATTCAATTTCTTAACAATGAAACACAAAAATTCTCATATGATGTTTGGAAGCCTGTGTGCAGATGAATAAAATTAGTGGTGGTAAGGTAAATTTGCTTTAATGCAATATTAACGCAGAAAAGACTTTGTCACCCGGCAGTTTTTACAGAGGCTGTTTTTCTCCTTGGAAGCAAACTAGGTCTGTATTGTGCCTTCTTGTTTACAAGCATTTTCACCTGCTCCAAGCTTGCAGCAGCCCCAGCATCCTTCCAAATATAAATGATCTAAAACATATTTTTATTGTTGCTTCTTCCTAAAGAAACTATGTTTTAAACAACAGCTAATCATGGAAATCCACTGGGCTAAGTGGGCTGTCTTCTGCAGGTCTCTTGTGCCAGGACCTGATCTTCATTGAAGCCTGCCTTCGATGTCTCAGGACGGTCTTCATCAGCCCCGTTACTCCTGTGCAGCTGCTGTATACAGTAAGTTTCTGAATTATACTCTGTGTTGTTGGTGCTGATTTACAGCTGCAGACAGAGTTCCTGTATGCACGCACGCACGCACGTACGCATGCACACACACACACACACACACACACACACACACACACACACACACACACACACACACACACACACACACACACACACACACACACACCACTCGTTCCTCTGTTGAAAGGCGTGGTTCACTCATTTGCAGCGGGCTCTAGTAGGAGTGAGTGCCTTGTAAGTCATACTCTGGGGAAACAAAGCTCTGGTGGGCCAGTTTCAGGAAGTAGAAATGAGCCAGAGCAGAGTTGAGCTTCAGACAACAGGATTTGGACTCTTATTGCCTGATATTTGGACATCCCTCCTCTGATTGGATACCAGCAACCCAACTCTGCCACTGACTTGGTTTGCTCTGCAACGCTGATGTTTTATCTCCACAAACAACACAAGCCTGGAGGAGTTCTGCTGTGTGGTGGAGTTGCTAATGCTGATGGTTAGGGATGCACAGAAATTAAAATTCTTGACCAAAACTGAAAAGGTGGAAACCAAGGCAGAAAATGTCTAGTAAATCAGGATTTTGAACGTTCGTACGAACATTCTAAAGTTTGTGCACAGGAAGGAATTTAAGAATATTTCTGCGAACGTTGTTTGAATGAGGCCCCAGGTGTTGCACCATGGATCGGGGTCCACTTTCTTATATCTGTCAGCAGTTGCACAGCTGGGCTCGGAGGGAAACGCTGTGTGGTGGTGTCACGTGTGACTGGACATCACCACCTGCCTTTAGTAAACTGCTAAAGCATCACACACACATCCTACTGTCTCAGTGTTTTACTGTAAACTGCTATTGCTTACATCTCATGCTCCTGTGATCGTATGCATTAGTTAAAATTTTTTTCAATAAACAGCTGAACTGTTGAGCAGATGGTTTGTTCTGTTTAAGGATCCCGCTGTGATTCCTCGTCTAATGTCTCTATTGGGGAGTTCTCAGAGAACCCAGGAGTACATCACACAGATCTTCTCCCACTGTTGTAAGGTATTTGATGGAATTCGGTTTCACACTGACATGATAAAGTTGATCACCACGCACACTCACTCACTCGCTCACTCACTCACTCACTCACTCACGCACTTGCACACACGCACTCGCACTTACACACGCACGCACTTACACGCACGCACGCACTTACGCACGCACTTACGCACGCACGCACACACACACACACACACCATGATTTATTCGTTGTGTTCAGACTCCAGAGCACCAGACGGTTCTTTTCAACCACGGGGCCATCCAGAATATAGCTCCTCTGCTCATCTCACCCTCTTATAAGGTATGGCACGTTCCCCGGTGTGGTCACATGACCTCTCCTCTCACACTGTGCTCTGTAATCCTCACACCATCCTCCGTCTGCAGGTCCGGATGCAGGCATTAAAGTGCTTCTCTGTTCTAGCCCATGAGAACACTCAGGTCTCCATGACGCTGGTGAATGGTGAGGACCTCTGCTCTATTCTGTTTTTGTTCCTTTACTTTTCCTTTGATGTCTTCTCTTTTGAGCTCTGATTTGTCTCCCTGGTGCCAGTGCTGGTAGATGGTGAGCTGCTCACTCAGGTATTTGTTAAAATGATGCAAAGGGATCAGCCTGTTGAGATGCAACTAACGGCAGCCAAATGGTGAGTGAGGTAACAAGTTTCCTGTAAATTCAATAGCTTTGTTATTACTCGCAAATCTTGGCTAAAATAGTGTTTCTGTCCCAGTCTGACCTACATGTGTCGAGCAGGTGCCATCAGGACAGATGACGGCTGTATAGTACTAAAGGTTGGGCCTCCCTCTAAGCAGATTCCACTTTTCATTATTAAAGCTAGTAGCAGTGATCCTTCGTCCCATTCTGTGTTACATCTAGACCCTGCCGTGCCTCGTACGGATGTGCAGTAAAGAACATTTACTGGAGGAAAGAGTGGAGGGTGCAGAGACACTGGCTTATCTGATGGAGCCGGACGTAGAGCTTCAGAGGATCGCCAGCACTACCGACCACCTTGTGTCTATGCTGGCTGACTACTTCAAGTACCCTAGCTCTGTCTCTGCCATCACTGACATCAAAAGGGTGGGTCTGAGTGGAGTCTTTTTATATTACAGTGGAGGTGGACAAGGGTAGACAGGTAGGAGCTCCGCTATATCTCAGCATTTCAAACTTTATTTTTGGTTCACGTTATTTTTCTGTAATTCATGGAGCTTCAAAACCTTCATTATAATGGTCCTAAAAGTTTTAAACTTATATTAATAAAAGTACTGAAACTCTGAGAAGTGGATGCTGCAGAGATGCTCTATTTTATCAGCCAACAGGGGGTGACGGTTGTGTTCATATCAGTTAATCATGATGAGTTTTTGACAAATTGTGTTTAATACTGGTCGATTTTCCCCTCTCTCTATTCTATATATTGTTATAATTTATTTCGAACAAGGCTAAATAATATTGAATTCACAAAGAAAAAGAAAAACAACTAATGTAGCTGGTAAAAAATAAATGCACTCAACAAAAATATAAACGCAACACCTTTTGTTTCTGCTCCGATTTTTCATGAGATGGACTGAAATATCTAAAATTCATTCCAGATACACAATATTACCATTTCTCTCAAACATTGCTCACAAATCAGTCTAAATGTGTGATAGTGAGCACTTCTGCTTTGCTGAGATAATTCATCCCACCTCACAGGTGTGCCACATCAAGATGCTAGTCCGACATAATGAGTAGTGCACAGGTGTACCTTATACTGCCCACAATAAAAGGCCACCCTGGAATGTGCAGTTTTGTCTCACAGCAAAATGCCACAGATGCCACAAGCATTGAGGGAGTGTGCAATTGGCATGCTGACAGCAGGAATGTCAACCAGATCTGTTGCTCGTGCATTGAATGTTCATTTCTCCATCATAAGCAGTCTGCAAAGGCTTTTCAGAGAATATGGCAGTACATCCAACCGGCCTCACTAATGGGGCATTTCTACTACTGCTCTACACAGTTTGGCTCTAGTGGGCTTTTCATATGGGCCGGTGACCTTAGAGTCAGTGTTCTGTACCTGGCAAAAGTAGTGCAGAGTGATGTGTACACACTGTGGGGGGGATCTGTATGCAGCACAAAAACACCAGTAGTGATGTTTAACGTTCTGCTTAGTCACTGAAACGTAGAGACCTAAAAAAGGAAGCTGGCAGGGAGGCAGGAAACTCTGGAGCTACCAGCTGACGTCACTTTTTGGACCAGCTCAATACGCTTTGAACCACATTGGAGCAGGCACTGACAAAGGTGGTAACCACAGAAGTCTTAAAACGGATGAGTTGAGCTGCACTAAGCAGGGACTAATGGAAAAGGTCCATAAATGTTCTAACTGCTGCTGTTTATTGCAGTTGGACTATGACCTGAAACATGCTCACGAGCTGAGACAAGCTGCTTTCAAACTCTACGCCTCCCTCGGCTCCAACGATGAAGACATCCGCAAAAAGGTCTAATGTCACTTTAAATTTTTCTCCCATGCATAACTGTGTGGGAATGTGGTCCCATCCAGGTCTCTCCATCTATTCCCTCAGATCACAGAGACGGAGAACATGATGGACCGGATTGTTAGCGGCCTATCAGAATCCAGCATTAAAGTCCGATTAGCCGCGGTCAGGTGAGGCTTCCTCATACAGGATGATGATGTAGACAAACTTCAGTCCTTCTGCCCTTAGTATAGTTTTTATTTTTATAAGAAAATGCATGGTTTTAGACATTTTAAATGATAATGCATTCAGTTTAACTCAGATTTGTTTCTGGTTTGACAAAACTTCCATCTTGGTAAAGTTTTAGGAAACCTCTGGAGAATGAAGGCCTCTGTGCTTGTTCCCATGTTGGTTTTGTTCTCGCAGGTGTCTTCACAGTCTGTCACGATCAGTGCAGCAACTGAGGACCAGCTTCCACGATCACGCCGTCTGGAAACCCCTCATGAAGGTCCGTGCATACTGTTCTCAAAAACTATTTGGCAGCCGCAGATTGTGCAAGGTGTCCCGCTATAAAAATGACACGGTCTGTATTGGTTATAAATCAGAATGACTCTTTTCTTGTGTGTAGCTGCTGCAGAATGCTCCAGATGAAGTCCTGGTCATGGCTTCCTCAACACTGTGCAATCTGCTGCTGGAGTTCTCACCCAGCAAAGAGGTACGCTAACAAACCGCTCGCCTTGTGAGACAGCCTTAAACTTCATTAGAGCTGGGCAACAGGACGATAAACGTTTTATAAAAACGTTTCCTCGCTACGCATATGAGAACACACGAGTTAATAGAAACTTTACCGCTCACATTAGGTGTGCTGAGCCAAGCTACAGCAGCGGACGTGCTAACAGCTCTTTTTTGTGTAACTTTGGCCTGTGGCTGCAGAACATGGCTGTTAAAAAGAAAAATGTGAGCCTGAAAATGACAGAAAAAGATGGAGGACACCGCAAATGACATCACTGACAATAAAGGACATCATCGTTTAGCCGTGTAGATGAATTTTAGCTGTTTAAAGTCAGACAATAAACAAAGAAGCTGCGCCACTAATGTAAGCACGAGTCTGGGTGTTTCACTCATAGATATGTATATAAACACTAGATGCCTCGTCCCCGCTGTTCGCCAATGGGATGCGACGTAGGAACGTAGCGGCCATCTTACCTCAGACAGCTGCCCCCTTTCTTGACATTGGGGTGTATGGTGCATGTACTATTTAAACAACTCTAACTTGCTCAATTTTCAACCGATTTTCTATGATTTGTTATAAACGCCAGAGATGTGTCTATGAAATAGGATGTGTTTGGCCCAGAAATTCCTGTTATTTCACTCCACAAAGCATTTCATCTTTCATAGATAACACATTTAATTGTAAGCTACAGTCACTTAAAGCATACATAGCCTACTATTAAATTATATGGATTTATCTATATGGGCTGCGCAGTGGTGCAGTGGTTAGAGCTGTTGCCTTGCATCAAGAAGGTCCTGGGTTCGCTTCCCAGTCTGGGATCTTACTGCATGGAGTTTGCATGTTCTCCCTGTGCATGTGTGGGTTCTCTCCGGGTACTCCAGCTTCCTCCCACAGTCCAAAAACATGAAGGATTTTCTTCAAACATGATGCCCGCAAAAAAAAAAAATCAACCCAGCAAATTATTTTGTATTTTCACTATTTCTTAACTGTTGTTTTCTTATTTATTGACTTTCATTTATCAAATGCTTTCTGAAAGTTAGGAAATAATCCAAAGATAGTTTAGGTTAATAAATAAGATGGATGGGTAATGGATTTATCTTGTGAAGGAGATTTTCAACATTCATAAAACCAGATAATGTATAAAAGGAGTAGCAGCAGCAATGGAACAACGGTTTCAAATCATTTATTTACATAAAAACAATAAACAGACTGAATAATGCACAATTGTAGGTTTTCTTTGCAACGGTTACAGATGAAAGGTGATCCTACGTTGTCTCAGTTTGTCACAGCCACGATTCGAGCGTCCGTAGGCTGCACGAAAGTCAGCCATGCTGACCCTCGAGCTTCACAATTAATAAAAGTGTATTTCTGCAAACACAACTCCAGAAATGTCCAGTTTTAATATATCTCATAAGTTTTGTGTAACAAACCAAGACGCTTAAAAATCACTTTCAATTTAGCATTAATATATTTAAAATAAAAAGAGCGACTCCCGCTGAGGTAAACAGTCAACTTTGTTTAGCTAAGCAGTGAACCCACTGTAGCCTCGCCATCTCTAAGCCAAGTTAGACAGCTAATAAACACAAAAACATCCACAAACAGCTATTTACACAACTATTGGGCTGTTTTGTAGAACCACATGAAATATCGATTGTGGTCTCAACCTGAATCACATGCAGATAGCCTAGGCGGGACACATGGTTCACAATTAAGCCACTTTCAAAAGCCAAAGCATTACTTACAACATGTGCAAGTATGTCGTCTCAAGCCCATGTGTTCTAAGGGTTGCAGTGGCGGTTCTACATCGAATTACTCCCCGGGCGAGGCCCCCTTTGAGCGCCCCCCCCCCCCCCCAACCGCCCCCCCACCACCACCACCACACCACCCCACCCCACCTGCATGAACACACGCATGTTTTCTACAAACAGGCATGTTTTATTAGAATGACTATTGAACATTCATTTTTCTAAGTTGCACATATTTACATTAATTACTATGAAGTTGTCAGAATGTAAAGCACTATAGATTATATACTGTATCAAAATATATAGAATCAAATATACAAAAACAAACAATAACTAAATATTAAGAATATATGAACATAATAGATAATAAATATTCTAAATAGCAAAAATATTTCACACATAACAAACTAAAGATAATCACTACAGCATTGCACTTAGAACAGAAAACACAAACTAAAATTAAAACCTAACCTTGATGCAACGTCATCAATAATGTCATCATATGAAATCTGCTCCCCTACTGAGTGATTGATACTAATCAGAGCCAGGTTAGTGAGCCGTCCCTGAAACATAGGTGACCTCAGGTATGACTTGATCAAGTTTTGAAAAGCTCCTCTCAGCTTGAGCCACAGTGACTGGCAGAGCAGTCCAAAAGTTGGGGTAGATCTCCAATAGATCTTTATCATGATCCATAATATTTTAGAATTGCCTCTGAAATTGTAATTTAAACTGACATAAAAAAACTGTAGAGTACCAAAAATGCCAACTTTTACAGAACAAATCATGTAAAAAATAATCAGTGCAGCCATCTGCAATAAATAAACAGGATAGTTAGTGGTGACTGGGGTGTTTTCTTCTGCTTGTAGAGTTGTTTTATTTATTATGTGAACATGATCAACATGTGTTTGTTGTTGTTCAGGCAGGCCACAGGCTGCAGTGAGCATTTAACAAATCCTAGTTTGAATCAGTAAAAAATGATTCAAGGACTTTTTTCGAACCATTTGAATATTCGTTTCAATATTTCAGCCCTATTAGCTCTGTTAGCAATGAAGTGACCGCATTTAACCGTTAAAATCCCAGTTAACTGGTTCAAAAAATTGAAAACATGCATCATGAGAGCTACATACCTTTATCTTTCTCCTCTTTTTTCTTTTTTTCCCCCTGAATGGGGCTCCTGGTGGTTTTAGCCTTTTTATGTTCATCTCTTCTGTTTGGCTCCTGACTCAGTAAGTTTCCTTTAGTCAGGACTAAACAATTTGACCTTGATGGGGGTGTGACCACAAAATCGTTTTTGTTTTTCCGTTTTTTATTCGGCCATTTCACACTATTCAGAGAAACCTGAAAGAATGATAGGCCTGTGTTTATGATATTATGAATGAAATATGGAAGAACGTTAAGATGTGATTGACTTTAGCCATGTTAATACAGTTGATTCAGCCCCTGCACGCTCATTCATTTGGGAAAGACGCAGAGGTGAATTCCCCCGCCGCACCCCTCCCCTTCCTGTTCTTCATAGACACACGGTGCACGTGAACGTTCTCAGTCAGCAGGAGCGCCTGCAGCTGCAGGGGGCGCCAACTTGCTGTTTCCAATCCAGACACTGTCATATGACAGATAATAGAAAACCTCGGTGCGGCGCAGATTTCCTTTTTTTTTTTTTTACTCCGCGCTTGTGCGCCCCTTTTGTGTCATGAAAAAATGCCGCCCCGGGCAACTGCCCTGTCTGCCCGTGCCTAAAACCGCTACTGAAGGGTTGTAACAAGGCAAACCGCTTGTAAATCCGTTAATATTTCATCGAGTTAAGGGTGTTTTTGTTTAAGCTGATCACTCACCTTTCAGCTGCTACCACTGAGAGCAGAGGGGCCTGTTGTCTGAGGTAAGATGGCCGCCATTTAGCTACGCCCAGTGTTGCCAGATCCAAAATCTCACAATATCGTACAGAGAGGCCTAAATTATCGTTTTTCAGTACAAATTATCGTACATTATAAATTTGATAACAACGTTCTATAAACGACTTCTCACTCCAATATAATATAACAAAGAAGGTGTTTTATATTGCCCTGTTTAAATAAACATCTTTAAAACCAGTAATATAATGCCTACAAACGTGCAGAGTGTGTCGGCACCACTCCTCCCTTTGCATGGTTCTAGAGAACGGTGATTTCTGATACCATCTGGATGTTGCAGCAACAACAGAAAGCCTTGGTTTCGTTCCCCTTAACAGGTGCAAGCCATCCTTTGAAAATAGGGTCCAACTCCCACGCAGGACGATAAACTTGTGTCCGGTGTTGTTTGCTTTACCTTCATCCGTCCCTTCTCTGGTTTTTCTTTTAAGATTAGAAGACATTGTCTCATCGCTTTGTCCTCCTAGATTAGACTTAACTCGGTGCGCTTGCGGGCAAACAGCAAAAACTGGCGGGCCACTGCCACATTATATAACCTTACAGTTTCTCGCGAGAGTAGGCCCTATCGATGTGATTGGGCTATTTATTGTACAGATCCAGAGTCAGTTTTTGTAATGGACACAATAGCATATACCTGTAAGCACTGAGGTGAAATCTGACTTCAGAACAGTTTAAAATTATGTAATGGACTTGGGAAAGCCACAGCAAAAGACGATGTTACTAGATGCAATGTGAAATTATCATACATTTGAGGATTTTTGAAACTATTGATCGTACATCGTGCAGAGCCCAAAATTATGGTACAAATACGATAATTATCGTACATCTGGCAACACTGGCTATTTCCTCGACTCCCGTTTTCGCCATCTACTATGGTTTCACTGTTCTGTTTTAGCTCCTGAGCCAGCGCCGCCTGCTGGAGCTGCAGGATGTAAAACTTTATAATCCCAGATGAGAAAGAAGAAAGAAAGGAAAGAGAAAACAATGTTTTGTGTAACGCCTCTCAAGATAAAAATCACAAGGCCCTTCACAAGAACAAAATCTTTTAATTACCAGAAAGATTTTTGAAAAATGATTTAAAAATGTGGTTTAAATGAGAAAAAATATTAAAAAAAGTGATTAAAAAGTTAGGAAATGGAGAGAGAAAATGTATAGGGAAGAGGGAAATCAGTGGATCCAGGGAAAGGCGGAGTAGGTAGCAAGAGAACGAGTGCTAAACACCCGTGCCCCCATAAAGTCTTGCATCTTCCAACCTCGTGGGTTATGATAACAAACGGAGTTATCGTGATATATAAATATATATCACGATAACTCAGTTTGTTATCGACTGATATAAAAAAAATCTAATTGTTATTCAATTCAATTCAATTTTATTTATAAAGCGCCAAATCACGACAAGAGTCGTCTCAAGGCACTTCACATATTAAACATTCCAATACAGGTCAGTTCATTAAGCCAATCAGAAATAATGTTTCCTATATAAGGAACCCAGCAAATTGCATCAAGTCACTGACTAGTGTCAGTGAATTTACAGCAATCCTCATACTAAGCAAGCATATGCATTATGCTCTGCCCTAAGGGTTATTAATTATACGTTAGTGCTCCAAAGTGTACATACCCTGGCAAATGGGCCATTTTTCAGAGAAAATGAACGATAAACCAAAAAGATTTCTTTAGCTGGTGGTTGGGTGAAGCTGTTCATTATAAAGCATAAGAAAATACCCAAGTGAGTGATCTAAGGCTGAATGCTTTTAGCATGGATTGGGAACCTATGGCTCATGAGCCAGATGTGGCTCTTATGATGGCTGCATCTGGCTCTCAGACAAATGTTTAACCCTCCCACTGTCCTCATGGGTGACCCCGCGAGAAAAGTTGACCATTGAGCAGGATTGATTGTTTATCCCTTGAGGTCCACGTGACAGGGGTGAGGTGGTGCTCATCCATTTGTTTATTTTTTTATTAATTTACCACTAATTTCAACATCCCAATGAATAAAATGACCATACTCTTGACTTTTCTCAGAGTTCTGAGACCAAGTCGAGGCTTTAATTCAGTCCTCTCAGCATCTCTGTAATGTGCTTTCACGGGGTTTAGCTTACCCCAGCACCTTTGGATTTTAGCATGAACCTGTCTAAATACTGGGAAACCTGCTTTTTGACCAACATGTTTTATGACTCTTTGCACCGTTTCATATCGTACTCTTCACCGTTCACCGTGACACGGAGAAAA